TTTACGTTTGTGTGTTGCTCGGCAACCACTTTGTTGGAACCACAACTGTTTCTGAGGAGCTACATTGTTTGGTGGAAGAATACTGTTTTTATTAATATCATTACACTTTATTTGCTCTGTTTTATTTTGTGAAACCTTACTACATATATGGAATAACCATTTTATAAAAGCAATAAGCCCCGTGAAGCCGTGGTTTACAGTGAATTTATAACAGCTAAGGGGGTTTTAGGCACTCCGCTTCACGTCGTGCCTAACAACACCCCTTAGCTGTTATAAATTCACTGTAAACCACGGCTTCTTGGGGCTTATTGCTTTATTATGCCCCCTTTGAGGGAACACATTACGTAGCGTGCAACAGAGTGGTGTATTTATCTTGCATCTATAACAAGAAACGTATGCCCAAGTTCACACTCTCATGACTCCAAAAGGCCTTATATAGCATTATGACCTTTACCATTCTTCCAATGTTTGTAGACGATATGATTAAGAACTGAAGACAAAGAAAGATGCAAAAGGAAAGATGGAATGATGTTAGGAGTAATCTCAAATAAATTTGAAGTGAACACAGACATACTTCAAAGGGGTCATGAACTGCCTTTTTTATTATTTTGCACTGTTCTCTGAGGTCCACTTACAATGTTATCAAGATTTTTTACATCATTTAGAAGTAATAGGCTATTTTCTGTCCTGTTTTTAACCCCCCTCATCAGAACGCTCCATTGGATTGTAGACTCGGAAGTAAATGCCCACAGATGCGATTGGCTAACAGTTGTGTATGTTTGACAGCCTACATCCTTTACAGATGGACGCTGCTGTGATTTAGGTTAAAAACGCATAAATACTCAGAACATATCAAACATATATAACAGACAAAGCAATGGTGATCACTTAATAAAAACACTTACTCACACTTGTGTGTTGATCCAATATAGTCGGAACAGCATCATCTTTTGTTTCAATCTTTCTAAAAATCCCAGTCAAATTGTGCTTTGTTTGTAAAGGAATCCACGATAAAATGAATGAACAAAGGACCAAGTTCTTACTGACGTGGTCTGGAACTTCATTAAAAATAAAGTTCATCCACTTTTTCCTAATGTTGGGATCAGAAGGAAGGCGATGCAAAGACTGTGATTTTCCACAACTTGGCACTGTACAGCGTCCTGTTGTCGTCGGAGCATTCTTTATGATTTAATTTCTGCGTAGACCTGTGTTTTCCTCTCGTTATTTACACTATATGCGTGAATCGGTGGGCGGGGCTAAACACAGGCAGTGATGTAGATCTTCTGTGGAGGCGGTGTTTAGCCACACTATTACATCATATAGTCATACATTCCACAGGTTGTCGTCGGAGCATTCTTTATGATTTAATTTCTGCGTAGACCTGTGTTTTCCTCTCGTTATTTACACTATATGCGTGAATCGGTGGGCGGGGCTAAACACAGGCAGTGATGTAGATCTTCTGTGGAGGCGGTGTTTAGCCACACTATTACATCATATATTCTTACATTCCACAGTCTGTCATTTTGGCAGACTGCCTTCAATATAAGCTGTTTTTAGACTAAAGGGAACGTTTTGAGTTCTAAAATTTAAAGGATGTTTTTATAGTACAATGAACTCTTATATGTCAAAAGATCAAGGGAATTTTGGTTTCTCAGTTCATGACCCCTTTGAGGGCACACATGCTTCCCATACATATAAATGTATATTTCTTCATACCTTCCAGTGCATACTTCATGTCCTGAGCAAAGAGTGTCCACATGACCTCAGCACTGACATTCCCCACATTCAGCTCCTGAGGAAACCTGCACAGGACACACCAGGTCAAATATAACAGCTCAGTGTGTCTGCGTGCGATATTGTGTGTGTATCTGTGCAGTGACTGACTGATTTATGATTGAGCTGTAGGAGTTCCTGTCCTCCTCTATGATGGAAACTATTAAGGTGATGAGTTTGGGCCAGAAGTCCAAATTCTGTATGCTTGGTCCTGGTTCCTCTACAGCAGCATTCTCCTCCTCCTTCTTGCCTTCCTCTTCTTCACCCTCTTCTCCCTCTTTCTTTTCTTGTGGTTTCTGTTGTATAAACAATCGCATGATACGACAGAACAAAAGACATTAGAATGATAGAACGAAAGAACAATAGATAGATGGACAGATAAAGATCGATAAACAGGTAGATAGAACAACAGATAAAATAACAGACAAAACAAGAGAAGGAACAACATAAAGTGTCAGACAAAATGACAGAACATTAGACAGAATGACAGTCAGACAAAACAACAGCTAAAATAATGAATTAACAGCAAATAGATAGATACAGAAAAACATAGATATAGAAAGAAATAGATAGAATGACAGATAAAAAACAACATAGAACGACAAAATGATAGATAGAACGACATAAAACAACAGAATGGCATAAAAGTGACAGAAAAACACAGATAAAATGACAGAACAACAGACAGAACAAGAGACAGACAGATAGATAGATGAGAAACAATAATGTACAGTATGTGGAAAATAATGTGTTTTTTTAACTTTAAACCACATAAACACGTTTCATTACACCAAATACACAAAATAATGTTCTTTTTAGCAGCATCATATGACCCCTTTAAAAGTCTATGAAAGAAACTCAGAATTGTACTGATGATTCATGAGCCTGACCTTTATGAACAAATGTGGTCTCTATGGTAACAGATAAATTCTATAAAATATTACTCATTTCAGGCTGATGTCCCATGTTGAAATGCTGGTATTACCCATAAGAAATTCAACCTCTGATAATGACATCATCTAAACAGAGATATCCAAACTTACTGTCAAACACAAGCGTACGCATCCCATCTGTGTGTATGCAAACATACACCTGTGCATGACGCGAATGTATTTACTCACAGGCTCCGCGGCCGGCTGGAACTGTCTGTTGTACAGCTCTTGGCAGTTGTTAAAGATGTACTCATATGTGGAGTTGAGGCACGCTTTCACACAGTCCCTAACCACATGGGCGGCACGCGGGGGAGACTGCAGTTCCAGAACCTGGACACAGGGGGCGCCAGAGAAGACACGAATACATCTATATAAAAACAATGTAACACCCGCTAACAAATCAATAGTGACTAATCTCCGTTATGAAAGCCCGCACAAAAGCCTCTCTCTTACAGCACAAAGAAATCAATCTTCGTCTCAAACCTTCTGTTATCCTCTTTTACTGGATGAACTCAGGCAGACAGAAATGACGGAGCGTTTACTCAAGAATATATGAAACACAATTGAATTACTCATCTCTATAGGATCTGTCACTCAATATATGTATTACAAATAAGACCTACATCCCTGTATAAAACAACAAGAAGGGCACTACAGCATGCTGTTGCTTGATCTGATTTAGAGGTACGTTATCTTACCTTTAGTCTGAAGAATGTAATGCTGGTCAGCAAATCCACTGTGGATTTGAGATCTGCTAGACGTGGTTTACTGCTGGCTGGGAAATTATTCTGGAGATCAAAGGGACAGAATGAAGATCACAGGAAGCTTGGGTGAGAAGCACAATATGACATTGGTAAAATGGATACTTGAGAAGTAACAAACAACGCATCACTTATATATGCACACGCACATGTTTACTGATCAAGTCTATAAATCTTTATAAAATGTATACATGCTAGGCACTCTCAGAACCAGTGGAAAAACATATATATAGACCTGACTGTGATCAGCTGCATCTCAGACTGCACTATAATGAACATTGTTCTGAAACGCATAATTCTAAATAAATAAATGTATGTACATATGTAAACTGATTGGCGAATCATGATTTGTGCATAAAACAAACATTTTACAAAATTTTTTTTCAAAGTTTGATTTTCTTTTTTCCACTTTGTTACATGGTCACATTCAAACATTTTGCAAAAATGCCAAGCCCGCACAAAAGCCTCTCTCTTACAGCACAAAGAAATCAATCTTCGTCTCAAACCTTCTGTTATCCTCTTTTACTGGATGAACTCAGGCAGACAGAAATGACGGAGCGTTTACTCAAGACTGTATGAAACACAATTGAATTACTCATCTCTATAGGATCTGTCACTCAATATATGTATTACAAATAAGACCTACATCCCTGTATAAAACAACAAGAAGGGCACTACAGCATGCTGTTGCTTGATCTGATTTAGAGGTACGTTATCTTACCTTTAGTCTGAAGAATGTAATGCTGGTCAGCAAATCCACTGTGGATTTGAGATCTGCTAGACGTGGTTTACTGCTGGCTGGGAAATTATTCTGGAGATCAAAGGGACAGAATGAAGATCACAGGAAGCTTGGGTGAGAAGCACAATATGACATTGGTAAAATGGATACTTGAGAAGTAACAAACAACGCATCACTTATATATGCACACGCACATGTTTACTGATCAAGTCTATAAATCTTTATAAAATGTATACATGCTAGGCACTCTCAGAACCAGTGGAAAAACATATATATAGACCTGACTGTGATCAGCTGCATCTCAGACTGCACTATAATGAACATTGTTCTGAAACGCATAATTCTAAATAAATAAATGTATGTACATATGTAAACTGATTGGCGAATCATGATTTGTGCATAAAACAAACATTTTACAAAATTTTTATTCAAAGTTTGATTTTCTTTTTTCCACTTTGTTACATGAAGGTCACATTCAAACATTTTGCAAAAATGCCCATTATGCATGAATTGCATTGTTTTACTCTTTTCCATGACCTCACTTTCAAACCATAAAAATCCATTAATAATAATAATAATAAAGTAAAATATGCTGCCCGAGATGCTTGCCCAAGGCTACAGCGTCCCTGTGACCCTACAGAGGACAAGTGGCTTGAAGAATGGATGGATGGACAGAACACCTGTACATACAAATTTTGTCTATTTTGTTAATTTATATATATCTACACATATGTGTATTTCTGTCAGGACCACTATAGTCAAAGATGATTGACAATTAGCATACAGTTTGGATTGGCGGTATGGTTCTATTCTGGGCAAGAACTCCCTGCGCATCCATGCAGCCTAGCATGGATGAGAGCAGGGAGAGCAGCAATAACCCCCCCAGG